TAAAATTTTATCTTTGTAGAGCTTCATATCTCATTGCCAAAATTAAAAAAATTATATTATAGTTTACTAATGCTTTTGTATTTCAAAAAAAAAATTACAAAGCCAATATATACAAAAGATGTTATTTGCACAATAATCATGAAATAAATTTTAGGATTTTCAAAAAACCGAAAACCGATCCAATCCAAACTGAAAAAAATTGGATTGGATCGGATCAGATTTGAAAAAAATCAAAACCGAATGGATGATTATATGATCAAACCGAAGGGATTGGATCGGATGATTTTTGCTTCCAAAACCGATCCAATCCAGACCGCGAACACCCCTATCCGTTGCTTCCCTCCAACTTTTCCAAACCCAAACATTTCTACTCGTCGGCGCCAGCCGGGCCGGGCCGGATCGGTTCCATTCGGTTCGTGTGTTAAATAAATTTTTTTTTAATCTGTCCTGTGGAATGGGTTAGATACGTGGGATACACGCACACGTTAAACTTTCTCTCTGTTAGGGCAAAGAGATGGTTTCATCAAATGAAGTTCAAGGAGAAACAACAAAAATAGCTACTGATTCGCAGGAAATCACGAGGAAAAGCATTAAGAGATCAAAAAACGGGGAGGAGTTCTCCCCAGATTCGTGAAATAAGGAGCTAGCTTGGGAAATATCCAAGAGCGCATACCTTCTAGGAAACTTAAGTCGTTCGCGGAAGCTCTCAGATCAGAAGATAACTCGATGGGCGAAGATGATACCTGGCAAGAAGACCCCATGGATGAACCGAGTGAGCCTCTTGATCCTAAACTAGGAGCCATAAATGAATTGGGTTTCCAGACTATCTTCGGAGAAGACGACTCTGTCAGAATCCGGTGTACTAAGGAAGCCAAGCAGAGATTGAGAAGCCCCTGGAGGAACGCAATCACCGGGAAGCTCTTGGGAAAGAAAATGGGCGTCATGTATATGAAGACAAAGCTTGAAAGTTTATGGTCGAAGCTGGGTTCCATTGTGGTAGCAGACTTGGGAAACGACTTTTTCTCAGTCAACTTCTCGAGTGTGGAGGACCTGAATCTGGCTTTAACAGGAGGACCATAGGTCTTAATGAGTCACTACCTTGCTATAAAGAGATGGGAGCCGTTTTTCAACCCTCACAAAACAAACATCGTAAGAGTTGCTGCATGGATTCGGCTACCAGGTATTCCGCAAGAATTTTGTGTGCTATCTGTTTTGAAGCTGATAAGAAATACTGTAGGAAAAGTTTTAAAGGTAGATAAAACCACCTCAATGGGTGATAGAGGAAAATTTTCTAGGATTTGTGTTGAACTAGACTTATCCAAGCCTTTGAGGGAAGAATATATCCTAGAGGAAGAAGTTTTCAAGGTGGAATATGAAGGATTGTATTTGATTTGCCTCTACTTTGGCAAATACGGCCATAATACAGAAAAATGCCCAAAAATTATGAAATCGGTTGAGGTTAGCAACAATCAGGAATCCTTGCCAGAAGTAGCCAAGCCTTCATGTAGTCAAGGAGTGGGCCCCTGGATGGTGGTGCAGAAGAAAAAGTTTATAAAGCAGCAACCTACAACAAAGTATGTAGGGACAGAGGGGAGAACATTTGGAGATGATATCTCCAATAAAAAGAATATCACCCAGAAAAAAAACCTTAAGTGACTAATATGGGTCCATCTACTTCGAAAAGTCAGCCAGTTAAAAGTCAGTCAAGACATTGGTCAGGGGAGTATAAAGAGAACAAAGATGGAACTCCTTCACAGCCTAATCCTACGGTAGCAGTAAAACCTGGTTCGGGTACAAAAAAATCTCGTGGCAAGGTTATTTACAAATCCAAGATGCAAGAGAAGAATAATATGTTCGTATTTGCATCTGAATCCCTATCAGCAGGTAAAAGCTCTAATCCAGCAGAGCTCGCTTCATCCAACTCCTTAATTAGGCAGATTGAACAGAAGCATAAACCTAATATCTCATCTGATCCGGTTTGTTGCTCTGGTGACGAGACTCCTTCTAATGAGGTTGAAAAGGAAATCTGTTCTAAAATCTCCATAACCAAGATCAGTGGTAATTCTGTTCCTTCCCCCAGATATGATTTATGTGTTGTGGAGGGAGAGTTCTCAGATATAGAAATTGGCAAGCCCAACAGTGAAGAGAAACTTAAAGGTGTTGATCCTCCTGAAAGAGTAGTTCCGGAAGGTATGTACATGAAGAATAATTTTAGTAATGATGCTTTGGACCATATCATAGAGAGTGACCGGGTTCTCTGTAATCTTGGGTCAGATATAGTTATCCAATGAATTGCCTAGCATGGAATTGTAGGGGTGCTGGCAAGAAATCTTTCAAAACATCCCATAGTAATTTCATCAGGAAATATAAGATTAGTTTGGTTGCCTTTTTGGAACCAAGGATTAGTGGTGCTATTGCTCATAAGAAAATAAAACATCTTGGCTTCAAACAGTTTGCTATTGAAGATGTTGTTGGCTTCTCAGGGGGTGTCTGGATCTGTTGGAAAGAAGAATCCTGCAAAGTTTCTATCATTGAAAAAGCTAGCCAATTCATCCACATGTCCTGCTCTATCAATTCAGGGAGTTCGTTTCTGCTTATTGTAGTATATGCAAATCCCAGGGAGGAAATTCCTGAGGCTTTCTGGATAGATCTCAAGAGGATTAGTGATAATGTGCTGGGGCCTTGGGTCATGATGGGAGATTTTAATGAAATAGCATCTGTGAAAGAGAAAAAAAGGGGGTGCCCCTGTCAATGTGATTAGATTCCACAAATTCTCCAAATTTCTAAATGATTGTAACACAATGGACCTGGGCTGCGGAGGATCTGATTTCACCTGGAGGGGTCCCAAGTGGCTTCATCTTGATAGGGTTTATAAAAGGCTTGATCGCATTAGTGTTAATGCAGAGTGGAAAATAGCTTTTGGAGAAGCTTTTGTTAAATATTTGCCTCGTCTAAATTCAGATCATAATCCTCTTCTGCTATCTTTGTTTCCTATGAAGTCCTCCTGGAAAGAGAGACCTTTTAGATTTTTGGTGGCCTGGCAATATCACATTACCTTCTCCCTTTTTCTCAAGTTTATTTGGAATTCTCACCATAAGATAAACTTGAGCCTGCTGGAGCTTATTGAACCTCTAAAGTCTTGGAATAAAAAAGTTTTTGGATGTATCCATTTTAGAAAAGAGTTTCTCCTCAAGAAGCTTCAAGAGACTCAATTGAACATCTCTAGTCAGCTGGATCAGTCTCAATCTGAACTGGACAAGGCTCTCCATGATGAGCTCAACCGAGTGTTGGAGCAAGAAGAATCTTTCTGGTTTCAAAAGGCGAGATGTAATTGGATAGCAGATGGCGTCCATAACACAAGATTCTACCATACCACCACTATTATCAGGAGAGCTAGGAATACAATTCTTGAGTTAAGGAATGATGATTGCAATCTGGTGAGAGATGAAGACAATCTGATTGAGCTCATTTACTCTTTCTTTAACAATTTATTCTTAGAGGAAGACTACAATAGACCCTGGACTGTCACCACAACCACTTGGCCTGCTCTTGATGACACTGATTTGAAAATCCTGCTTGAACCCATCTCGGATATTAGGATAAATGAGGCTTATTTCTCTATGAATGGTCTCAAGGCTCCTGGTCCAGACGGATTCCCACCTATCTTTTTCCAAAAAAATTGGGAATTATTGCAGATTCAAGTGATTGACTGTGTAAGACAGATTTGGTGCAATCCTGCTGCTGTGAGGGAATTAAACAAAACCTTCCTAGTTTTAATTCCAAAGCTGGCTAAGTCTGACAAGATTACTCAGTTCCGGCCCATTGCCTTGTACTCTGTGCTTTATAAAGGTATTAGCAAGATCATTGTGAGAAATCTCAAACCCATCCTGAATAAGCTCATCTCCTCTCAACAAGTCAGTTTTGTCCCTAACAGACAAATCTAGGACAACATTGTCATTGCTCAGGAGATGGTTCATTCCATGAATAGGATAAAAGGAAAGAGGGGTTTTTTCACTATTAAGATAGATCTCGAAAAAGCCTATGATAGAATGTCTTGGAGTTTTATTCAAAAAATTCTTTTTGAGATCAATCTCCCCGAGTCGCTGGTCAACTTAATTATGCAGTGTATCTCCTCAACAGAGCTAGAGATTCTCTAGAATGGCACTAAGGCTGGTAAAGTCAATCCTAGCAGAGGCCTGAGACAAAGGGACCCCATTTCTCCCTATATATTTGTCCTTTGTATGGAGAAGCTCTCTCATATCATAGCTGACTCTATAGACATGAATGATTAGAAGCCAATGACATCTGGTAAAGGTGGACTCAAAATATCTCATCTACTTTTTGCAGATGATTTGTTGCTGTTTGGGGAAGCTAGTATGGAGCAGATAATGATTATTTTGAGCTGTCTTGATACTTTTGGTAACATGTCTGGTCAAAAGGTTAGTTACTCCAAATCCAATATGTTCTTCTCTAAGAATGTTCCTATTGAGGTTGCTAACTCTATTATGGAGATTAGTGGTTTTGCCCATACAAAAAATATTGGCAGATACCTGGGTTATAGGATGAAGCATGGCAGAATTAGCAAGCTACACTATGGAGATATTTTGGACAGGGTCAATAATAGACTTCAAGGTTTGAAGAAGCAGTGTTTATCAATGGCTGGGAGAGTTACTCTGGCGAAGTCTGTCTTATCAGCCATGCCCATGTTTCATATGCAGAATAACCTTCTTCCTAAAGGCATTTGTGATGACATTGAAAAACTTCAAAGGAGCTTTATTTGGGGAGACTCAGAAACTCAAAAAAGAATCCATACTGTTAACTTGGAGCAGCTCAAGCTTCCAAAGAACCAGGGTGTTTTGGGAATAATCAATCTCAGAAAATAAAATGAAGCTTTTCTCCAGAAGTGTGCATAGTCAATCATTCAGTCTCCATCTCAGCTCTGGGCAAAGGTTATGATTTCTAAGTTTGGTAGGAACAAATAATTTTAAAAGGAGGCTACCATGTTAAGTAATCTCAATTGGCAGATTGGAAATAGGAGTAAAATAGCCTTCTGGAAGGATAATTGGACTGGACTCAGTTCCAATCTTATAACTCTTTCAATAGCTCCCCCATCAGCTGAAGAAACAGATCTGAAAATCAATCATAGTAGTTTTGTTTCTGAGGAGGGCTGGAATGTTCAGTATATAGAGCATCATTTCAACCTTAGTGTGGTGAATAGAATTATGGCAGTACCTCATCCTGAAGATGTAGAAGGAGAGGATTATCTGATGTGGAATAACTGGAAACTAGGCTAATCAGTAGTCAAAGTTGCGTACAGTAATTGGCTGATTGCTAATTCAACAGCTCCCAGTAGCTGTAGGGACCGTATCTGGAGCTGGAAAGTGAAAGAAAGGGTGAAGTTCCTCATGTGGAAATTGTTTCATGAAAGAATGCCAACTAAGGAGAACATAGCCAAGTGGAGTGATTCTTTGAATAGCTGTCCTTCGTGCCCAGATAAGGTGGAGACCTGTCTTCACGTTTTCAGAGACTGCCAAAAAGCAGTTAAGGTTTGGCTTCCTCCTATATTCCAACCTCTTCCTCCTGACTTTTTAGCTCTTGCTCTTTTAAGGAGTGGAAGACTCTTAACTTGAACCTTAGTAACAGAAAAAGGAGGGACTGGAGGGATTATTTTTTTACTACCTGCTATTCCTTGTTGGATATGGAGAAATAAGGAGCTTCATGAAGAGAACTACAAGAGACCGGATAACCCTTCTCCTATCCTTGCTGATCTCATAGAGGAAAGTAGGTACTGTATCTCAAATAGAACTCATATTTGCTCTGGTATGCCCCCCACTCTTCTCCACTCTGCTTGAAAGGCTCCTGCTCAAGGTTTTCTAAAGCTAAATGTGGATGGTGCTTCTCTTGACAGTAGAGCTGCTTGTGGTGGTCTCTTGAGAGATTGTAAGGGTTCTTGGATTAGTGGTTTTTCTGCTTTCGTAGGTTTCTGCTCCCCTTTGCAAGCAGAACTCTGGGCGATTCTCAAAGGATTAATCTTTGCCTCGAACAATGGTTGGAAGAACATTATGTTGGAATCAGATTCATTACAAGCTATCAGTCTTTTTACCAATGTTGGTAATGATACTCGAAAGATTCCTTTGGTAGCTAAGATTCAAGTCTTTCTTAATAAGGATTTGACTGTTTTGTTGTAGCATATTCCGAGGAATTGCAACAATTGTGCTAATTGGATTGCAAAAAAGGCATTGGAAGACCCCCTGGTCTCACTATAATCTCCTCACCTCATAGTGAGCTCATCAACATGCTTGTTGCTGACTTGCTGGATCCAGGCTAGGAGGCATCTGCTATTTTCTGAAGGCGTTGTCTTCAGTTCCCCTGTGCTGTGCAGGGTTTTGTTTTCTGTTTGTTGTTTTTTCTTCTGTTCTTGTTTTTTTAGTTTTCTTTGTGTTCTCTGGGGCTTTTCCCCTTATGTTATCAAAAAATAAATAAAAATATTTTTTTATTAAATAATAATTTAATTTTTTGTCCAAAATACCCTCGTGACTACCTGTTGCTTCCCTCCACTTTTTTCCAAACCCAAATCTCGTCGATCTCATAAGTATTATACCAAATCCCATTAATCAAATCGTTTTTTCGAGAAATACGAGACATCTAAGTCATACAAGTCAAGCGATTTATTCCTTATAATCCATTTTTTCTTCGGAGAATTCCCTTAAACTATTTGTGTATGTAAAACCAAATACAAATAATCTAATTTTCTTAAGTTGAAGGCAAATATCTAAATACATGTCTTATCTTTTAAATAATCCGAACTCCGTATTTCTTCTAGAGAATCTCCTAATTGTTCCAGAGCAACTAGAAAGAGATTCCTTAACCAGAAAGAATTCAGTTCAGATTTTTTAACCGAACCGGTTCTTACCTTTCGCTAATCGGTCACCGGTTGTACCTGTTCACCAAACCGGTCACCGTTCGCGATCTTCAGTCACGGCGGTTCGCCGCCGGCAACAGTTCATCGTGACCGGTCAATATCTATAAATAGACCCTGACCCCCCATAAAAATAATCCGGCTTTTATGCACTATTACTCTGCCGAAATTTTTCCTTCTTCCGATTTGCACCCTCCTTTCAGTTTTCTTCGGTGTACTTTCCTCTGGCAATTGTTGTATTCGTTTGGGCTGTTGACTGGTAGTGCCACCACTCCTCAGACGAAATCTGTTCTATCTTGGGAGACTCTTGTCCATCAACCCTTTGGCATCAGTGTGGGGACAAATTGTTTTAAGGAGACACGTTCTGTGGGCTCAGATTTAATTCCTCATACTACATACATTCATCTGTCTGTTCCATTAAACTGACACCAAGTAAGTCTGTTCTAATTTTTCATAATTGCACTGTGTATGATATTTCTGATCATTATCTCTTATGTTCTATACTTGGGTTCAAACCTCTCTTAGTGATGTAATATCACCCACTGTCTTCAATAACACACACACACACACACACACACACACACACATATAGAGAGAGATATGTAGGATCCTTTGACATCAGTGTCAAATTTGAAATTTGACACATCATCTGAGAGCCATTAGATCAAAAAAGATCAATGGAGTCACATGCTTAGAAATCAGAGTCGTTGATCTTTTTTGATCTAATGGTTCTCAGATGAAATTTGACAATGGTGTCAAAGGTTCCTATTTCATATATATATATATATATATATATATATATATATATATATATATATATATATATATATATATATTATTCTTTTACGTAGAGATAGATTTTACACGTGGAATTTTTGTATGTATAAAAAATCACTTACTGGAAACAAGGGATATATTGGTTAAAATCGAATAATCAATACTCAACTTGACAATTTATTTTGACCCAAAACTTGTTGAATCAAATTTGAGTTCTTGAAATTTAAACCTGATATATTTAATAGGTCGAGTTTTTTTTTTTTTTTGGAGATTACAAAGAATTGAATATAACACCCTACACTACACATGTAACACCCCGTTCTAGAACCGGTTTGTTAACATCGCATTATGATATTAAGCGCAGTTACAATCACATGTGTTCAATTAAAATCCGGATAAATTTTTCATTTTAAAACGTACCGAACTTATAATACCCAATTTCGTGATCATAACCATATTACCTTGCGGAAACAGATAAATTAAGCTTAACATCATGTTCATTTCCCATTTTTAAACCATTAATTTACTTCTTGTTTAGTTCAATACTTCTACTATATTGTAGGTTTCTTCATTAGCTACCTGTGGCTTCAAACCGTGCTCAAATCGGAGCACTGTAGTCCAAGTTAGGACAATTTGAAGCAACACAAGAGAGTGTTGGTCACAGGCCCCGCGCGCTTCAGCGCGCTACCGGGCGCTCAAGCTCGCGCTATCGGGCGCTAAAGCCTCCATCTGGGCGCTTAAGCGCACGGAGGCAGTAAGCATCAGGCATTCCAGTGTGGATGGGCGCTTAAGCGCGCAACAGGGCGCTCAGGCGCGCTATCCTGGGCGCTCAAGCTCCCACGGGGACGTTTTAGCGCGCAGAGACAGAAGCATCTCCTCCTTCAGTGGCGAAGGGCGCTTAAGCGCGGACCAGGGCGCTCAAGCGCGCAACCCTGGGCGCTTAAGCCCCACCCTGGGCGCTAAAACACGAGGGGGCAGTAAGCCACCCAACTTTCTGCAGCAAAGGGCGCTTAAGCCCCCACTTGGGCGCTCCAGCGCAAGGAGGCAGAATGCATTGGCACTCGCAGGGGCAGCAGGGCGCTTGGGCGCGCTCCTGGGCGCTTAAGCGCGCTGCCAGGGAATTCCAATTCCCACATTTCTCAAGTCCAAGCCTAGGGGAAAATGCATCCCCATTACAAACCCCAATTGTCCATGCCCCAAAACTAAATCCTAGCACTCATCCAACCTCTCCTCATGAGATTTAGCTAGAATTTGGGCAGCATGACCTTTGTTTTCTCATCGTTTACCAGTTTAAACGAAGAGGGTACCTAATTGATTTTCAGCCCAACCAATTCAACAACTCAATACATAACAAGCGTGCATATATTGAATTCCAAGTAGGCATCATTTACATTACATATCCTTTACAAATCATAGAACTTAGCTTACAAAACACTATGATCATTCCCTTGGCTCCCATCAACAAAAGGTGTAACCAAAGGCATGAGCATAGGCTAAGTTCATCCAATGAATCAAGATATACAAATGATCATGGGCATTCAAAATAAAATCCTATACATGTCAACTACAAAAGGCATGCATAAACTCAAAGAAGTGCCATATTTCATGCATAATCTAGGTATGGCCACTTGCCACCAGAGGCTCCTGCAGCATCCTTACCTGAAAGGGGGTCCCCACAACACGGGGTGAGATATACGAATATATCCAGTAAACCAGGGGTCCTTGGAGCATCTCTCCACCCCACAGTTCCATATCAGTGTAATAGCAATAAAAATAATAATGCAGTAAATACATATCTATGCAAAGTGCAATACATCTCCAGGAGAAATCCCTCGAGCTCTCAAGCTGTCCTAAGGAAACTCAGATGCAAATAGTCCTACTGGCCAGCTAACTACCAAGTATGATTTACGCATCGTCATGCCACATACCAACATAGGGAAACACCATCCTATGCCACACCAAATGCATACACATACGTATAACAAAGCATTACACTATTTTATTGCATTTATATACACAATCACAACCTCCACCCTTTCAGGGCTTGGTAGAACAGTCAAGGGAATTACACCCAAGGTCCGAAGGCTTACCTCAATGCTTCAGTCAACCTTTGTTCTTCACCAACAGTTTCAGCAATCAACTTTTACAAACATACACCTACACATGGTGTAATGCAATCAACACATTGCATCCAAGAGTATTTCACCATCAACCATCAATTACTCAATTCAAAGCACAACACAAGTATGAGCTTACCAATTCCAATGAGCTATTCAAGCTCCATAGCTTGCTCCAATGGTTGATCACTCACGGTTGGTCCAAATGTCTCAATCCTAGACATCACAAGGATCCAATCAATCACTCAACTCACTAATTGTTCAACATGCTAGAATACTAACCAATCCAAGCATGAATTTTCCAATATTATGAACAATTATCAAATGACTATCTAGGCTCATTTCCACCGATTAAATGACATTCCTAGCATTTTCCATAACATGCTCTAAGCTCCATTCTTCCTAGAACATAGCTAATTCAACTACATTTCATAAAAATCCCAATTTACTATTCACAAACCCTAACTCATGCAAATTTCAAGGAATCATGAGGTTCAAGGGTTAGAATCTTACCACCAATGGTCACACAACCAAGGATTGATGGCTCCTCAAGCTTCAATGGAGGTAGAAACTCTCAAAACCCCAATTTTCACCAAAGGGCCGAATTTTTGAGAGGTAATATCTCTCTCCACAATGCTCCCCACTCAAAACAAAGCAAGGATTATGAAAGAGGGCGAGATTCTAGGCGATTTAGGCTTTTGAATCACCCAAAACCGTTGGGATTTGCTCTCTCTCTCTCTCTCTTTCCCTTTTCTTCTTCCCTCTCTTCTCCCTCTCTTCTCTTCTCCTTTCTGGTTCGACGGGTTGGGTGGGAAATGAGGGGTTCTTTTTGGTGTTTTACCACTTAACATTGGTTAAGTGGTAACATGTGGGTATTGGTTCGTCTATCTATTCAACTCCAATAATTACCAAACTTTACCCAAAAGTCTGGAATATTATTCTAGGAATATTACTATTTTTATTTTTATATTTTGGGTACTTTTGCCAGTACCCATTTATACCCCTTAATTTTCACTGAGTACACTTTTTAACTCCAAAGTGACTCAGATTCATTTAATTAAGCCTTATACTTAATTTCACTCACTAAAACATGTTTAATTAATTAATTACACTTGATTTACTAATTAATTAAGATGGGCTATTATAGTCACCCCACCTTTTAGCGATTTTGTCCGCAAAATCAAGAACGTACCTATCCTTAAACTCAGGATATTGCCGGAGAAGCTCATCTTCGCGCTCCCAAGTGGACTCTTCAGGCGTCCTTCCTTCCCACTGGACTTTCACCATAGGAATAGATTTATTTCTCAGCTTCTTCTCATCTCTTTCGAGTATCTTCAGTGGTCCAATAGGAGTCTTCAAATTCTCCCGGATTTCAACATTATCAGGTTGAACCACATGAGAAGGATCAGCTACATATTTCCTCAGCTGAGAAACATGAAACACATCATGTAAATTTGCTAATTGCGGAGGTAAGGCAAGCTGGTAGGCAACCGGTCCCACCCTACGAAGAATCTGGTAGGGTCCAATAAATCTCGGACTCAGCTTCCTCACACCAAGGGCTCGTCCCACACCCGTAACTGGTGACAGCTTCAGGAACACATGATCTCCCTCCTCAAACTCTAGAGGCCGGTGCTTGAGATCATAGTAACTTTTCTGACGATCTTGAGCCTTTTTCAGACGATCCCTAATCATTTTAATCTGCTCAGTAGTCTCCTGAACAAAATCCAATCCAAACCGCTCTGTGTCTCCAACCTCTGACCAACAAGTAGGTGTCCTACACCTGCGACCATACAAGGCCTCGTAGGGAGCCATACCCAGACTAGCATGGAAACTATTATTATACGAAAACTCAACCAGTGGGAGATATTGATCCCATGCAGTACCCTGCTCCAGGGTGCAAGCCCTCAGCATATCCTCCAACGTCTGAATGGTCCTCTCAGTCTGACCATCCGTCTGTGGGTGATAAGCAGTGCTCAGTCTCAACTGAGTGCCAAGAGCCTCCTGCAATGCTCCCCAGAAGCGAGAAGTGAACTTCGGGTCCCGATCACTAACAATGCTCTCAGGCACCCCATGAAGCCTCACAATCTCCTTCACATAGAGCCTAGCCAATCCCTCCGCAGAGAAATCTACCCGAACTGGCAAAAAGTGTGCGGATTTTGTCAATCTATCCACAATCACCCATATAGAATCATAACTAGCCTGTGTTCGCGGCAATCCCACTACGAAATCCATGGAGATACTCTCCCATTTCCATTCAGGAACATCCAGAGGTTGCAGCATACCAGAAGGCTTTTGATGCTCAATCTTTACCTTCTGACAAATGAGACACTTAGAGACAAATTCGGCAATATTTTTCTTCATACCAGGCCACCAGAAATTCATCTTTAGGTCCTGATACATCTTTGTAGCTCCCGGATGAACTGTAAAATGACCCTTATGAGCCTCTGTCATTACTTCTTCCGCCAACTGCCTAGGTACAACTACACGACCCTGATATAGTAGTACACCCTCATCATTGCAGGATACACCACTCTGACCTTTTAGTCGTCTAGCACTTTCATTTTGCAGTTGGGCTTCTTTGATTCTGGTCATCAGTTCATTCTCAATGCTTGTGATTTCAAAGCCACAAATTTTACATGGAAAGATTTTAGATAATTGATTATCTCTGAACCTCTCAATCACATCATAATCTCTGATCATCATGCTTGATATACTCACGGATTTTCGGCTCAGTGCATCCGCTACAACATTAGCCTTACCAGGATGATATTTCAATTCAAAATCATAGTCTTTTAGGAACTCGGTCCACCGTCGTTGTCTCATATTCAGCTCCTTTTGATCAAACAAGTATTTCAAACTCTTGTGATCGCTGAATATTGCAAATTGCATTCCATACAAGAAATGCCTCCACTGCTTCAACCCAAAAACAATTGCAGCAAGCTCAAGGTCATGGGTTGGATAATTTTCTTCATGCGGTTTCAATTGCCTCGATGCATAAGCTACCACTCGCCTATCTTGCATCAGCACACATCCCAATCCCTTCTTGGAAGCATCGCTGTATAGCTCAAATTCACCCTCCGGGTCGGGAAGTACTAACACCGGAGCGGTCGTTAGTTTCTCCTTAAGGCTCTGAAAGCATTCTTCACATTCTTGTGTCCAAACAAATGGAGTATCCTTCCGGGTCAAACGGGTCAATGGCAACACCATGGCTGAAAATTCTTTAATGAATCTCCGGTAATAACCAGCCAAACCCAAAAAACTTCTTATTTCCGTTACTGTCTTGGGTCTCTCCCAATCAACAACTGCCTCTATCTTGCTAGGATCAACCGCTACTCCCTCAGCAGAGATAACGTGACCCGCCAAAACTCACATTTAGAAGGCTTTGCATATAACTGTTTCTCTCTGAGAATTTGCAACACAGTTCTCAAGTGACCTTCATGCTCTTCCTTACTCTTCGAATATATCAGGATATCATCAATAAACACAATCACGAATTGATCCAGAAACGGCTTAAATATGCGATTCATGTAATCCATAAACACCGCAG